ACCCGCCCTGGAAAAGACAAATAATTATCACATCACACATATATATATATATATATAAGGACGTAGTTGAAAATAGCTTATTTAATTAATTTTCTTATTCAATTAATTTTGCATCTCATATGTAATCATTTTTAATGCGTGTCTAGTAATTTCATATCGACCATTTTGTTTAACAATGATTCTACTTTCCTTACCCTGATTTCATGGTAGATTTTTTCATGTTTACTAAGTCTATTATAAAAGTTTATTTTTAACAAATATAGCTTTGTTGAAGTAATGGAGATTCAATTGAATAGACCATTTAGAAAGAGAGACGAAAGATACCAAAGGGACATTCAAACTCACAAGTCAAAAATAAACTGACAACGCCATGGCTAAAAAAGAAAAAGACCAACAGATAAACAACAGTACAAAAAAACACAACACAGAAATCTAAAGACTGAGCAACACGAATCCAACCCAAAACTGGGGGTGATCTCAGGATCTCCTGAAGGGTAAGCAGATCCTGCTCTACATATGGCACCCGTCTCAAATATAATCCGATTTTGATGTGTGTCCTTTTATGTGATGTAATCTATTTGATTGACCACTGCTAATATATTTGTTCTTATAGTATAATTCCAATATCAATGTATGCTTATTTATTACAAAATAAAAAGGCTATTTTATAGCAACGTTTCTTTTAAGGGACCAACCTCCTTCTCTTATGTGATTTCTAAGTAACTTTTATTAAATTCTCTGTTAAAGAATTACAAATTATTAATAAACAAACGTTCCGACTCCTTCAAGCAAAGTTGACCTTTCATGAATTTGGCTGTACGTTTTAGGTTCCTTTTGGTCATAAAAGCTCCTGTACTTTTTATGTATTTATACATCCTGGGCTTTTACATATTTGCGTATGAGCGTTTCTGATGAAAGTAAACAAAGAAAGCCCACGAAAAGGAGAAGGTATGAAAATAGCAAATATTTGGCCCATAATATTGAAAAAAGAGTAAACTTATTCAAGTCTTTCAAAAATATGATTGAGAAATGAACAGGTTGATATAAACTTGACACTTGGTCACTTGCGATGTAACTATGACGTCATTGATATGTCGCTATTTATATATTTGACCTAAAATAATATTCCTCTCACTCGCGTATTTTTGTTTTGGTCAAAATGTACAGCTTTACCCAAAGAAAAGAATTTTACACACAATAACATCTTTGTAAAATACATTTTGTAGCAACACATTTTTTGGGTAAAGCTGTTGCTCATATCTAAATATTTGATGACAAGATATCAAAAGGATTTTACTTTGGCAGTATATGCTGTTTTGCTCTATATGTGAGAAAATTGAATCCCTTATGCCAATATCTAAGACAAAATTCTAAATTATAAATACCGATGTCCAACATTCTAATGTCTTATGATCACATTTGGTAGATTTATAATACTTTTATTTTTTTTTTCGAATTTAATGGCCTCATCATACTTTGTCCCTTATCTTAATTCTCACCATGAGTTAGAACAATTGAAAATTATAACTTTAAAATTTAACAATCACGATAGCGCATGCGTAGAAGGCGATTATAATCGTTACGAAGCACCTGCTCTAGTTTCGTTCGAGTTCATGCTATTCCAAGTGTTCTCCAATTGACATTTGTAAACTGACTTCGTATTTATATACGTGTGATATATAGCATTTGTATGTGCTAAAATTAGAAACTGAACATTTATATTCATGCAAAGAACCCATTACAACATTCTACCTTTGTTTTGTTTACCTGTCGTGTTTAACAATTGAAGAGGCGTACGAGTTCAAGTATAGGTTTTATTTTGCATACATATCAATATAGAAATGTACTTATCACATATCGAAAACGAGGCCCGATCGAAAATTTCTCCTTAGGACAACTAAAAGGTTGCATGTTATGGTTTTAGCATTCCTAACGATGATAAAAAAAAATCACTTAGGACGCAATGGATTTAGTAGTGTTTATTTCATTTACTAGCACTGGGTCGATATCGCTGCTGGTTGACTTTTAGTATACGAAGGTATCATCAGCTCAATACTTAATGCTTCGGTGCATACAACCATAAAATTTCCTATTGACGAATTAAAAAAAGGTCTCAAGTCCCTCAAGCAAACCGGACCTTAGTTGAATTTTGCTATTCTGTTTTGGTCATTTGGTCAGATAGCTACTAGCTAGGGCGTTTAATATAATCCCAGTGTGATAATAAAAACAGTTTTCTACTGATCGGAATATGTTCACAGATGTTTGATACATGGTAAAGACCTACCAATGATATCAAGCTTTTAATTTGGTAAGGCAGACACGTGTTTTATCGACATGGAACTCACCGGTGGCCAGTTAAACAGAAAATATATTTTGCATGATATGTTTCATATTTGTAGCCTTTATGCAAAACGATTATTTAATCATTGCAGTGATCCAAATTCGTTCTACAAGTAATTGACTTAGTTTAACCTAAGTCATACATGATATCATAATATGTCATCCTAAATCACATATCATTTACGTTTTGGATGTGTTTGACAGTCGAATTGGTAATAAAATTGTTCATTCATAGAAACCTGTCTGCACTAACATACCATACTTCAAGGTCTGTATAATGCTCTTGACTTCTGTGAAGTAAAATATATTGGACACTGTTTAATAAACAATGAAATAAAATGAAATGATTTAGCATTAGTACTTTTAAATCATTTACTCTTTCCGAATTAGCGAGTAATATTCTTAGTGTGAAAAGCTATTTGTAACAAAATTTCTTACGTGAAACATACTTTTATGTTTGGATGGTCAACTGCTTACCCTGTCGACACATCGAGTTGATTCTGGTGCTTAGATTGGTTCGTTTTGCTTATACTTAGATTGTCATGCAAGATTCTAAAGGGTATTGGTTATCTTTCCATTGTTGTGTTTTTGTTATGAAGTCTTTCTACGAATTATAATTTTGGATCTCAATTGTATAATAATAATACCTAACTCATAGGGAAATTTAAAACGGAAAGTCCTTTATAAAATGGCAAAATCAAAATCAAAAACTCAATCATATCAAACGAATGAAAAACAATAGTCATATTCCTGACTTCGTACAGGCATTTCCTTATGTAGAAAATGGTGGATTAAACCTGGTTTTATAGCTAGCTAAACCTCTCACTTGTATGACAGTCGCATAGAATTCAATTATATTGACAACATTGTGTGAGGAAAACAAACAGACATAATATGTAAACATGTCAAAAACGAATGGAAAACAACTGTCATATACCTGACTTGGTACAGACATTTCCTTATATAGAAAATGGTTATTTAAACCTGGTTTTATAGCTAGCTAAACATCACACTTGTATGACAGTCGCATAGAATTCCATTATATTGACAACATTATGTGAGCTAAACAAAGAGACATAATATGTAAACATGTCAAAAATTGAGGTACTGCAGTCAACATTGTAATATAATCTTAATCACTATAAATAAGAAACCAAACTATTTCAACAAAGAAACAAAAGGCATAAAGACACTCTATAGACAAAGTACATCAACAAAAAAGAAAGACAAGAATACAAAATTGACCATAGCACAATAACAAGAAAACATATGGTTGACACTGCCAAAGATTTCTTTTTGCTTTACACTCTTTGTCTGCGTAAATGATTCCTTTATCAAATAAATTGATGACTACAAAATCTCTGTACTGTACGAACATCTTTTAGCGACAAATTTTGTAGGGGAGATAATTGAGACAAGTTACTTATATAAAAGTGATAAAATTTAAATTCATACACTTCGTCTTTCATTAAGGAATAATAAGCAAGTCAATATTCATATTGATCTTAACGACGAAAACAAAAACATGTTCAAATTTCTTATTAAATTCCGGCGGCAGTAGTTTACCGATTTTCAAATCTTGTAAAGTATATGTATACTAAGGGTAACAGTAAACTCCCTCAGGCAAAGTTGATCTTATACATTCTTGGCTTTCAAATATTCGGCTTTGAGCGTTCCTGATGAAGGTAAATTCAGAAAAGCTCTTCGGACGCATGAAATATATAACGTGTTGTTTTCATTTTTTAAACGCTAAGGAAGAGAAAGCTTCAAATTATCATGTCCTGGGACCATACTTTTGAATGAATCAATCTTTAAGAGACACCTGTTAATCATAAAGGTTCAACGTTTGGATGATTATGGTTTTAGAAAAATAATTCATTCGTCTAATGTTGTACGTAATAAGAAAGTTATGCTATTACAGACATAATTCATAATTAATTATGAACTATCAACCATAGCATACTTCTCCTTACATATTCATCAATGTGCCTGATATGAAGGTTATTTCAGACACGTATTCTTGGCACTGGAATAATAATTTTGCCTATGAGGTCGTTCATGTTTACATTGACAACGTCACGTGCGCCCTTAGTTTCTGACGATAATTTTCTATCTCAAGCGAGAAGCATGATATGAAAAAGTATCACAAAAAAAGATCAAAAGAAAAATACACAAAATAGCGATAACTAAAGGCAACAAACAAAACCTGACGGAAGTGCACGAACTCCAAAACCTGACGGAATTGCACGAACTCTAACGAATGAGGTCAGTTGCGTCGGTAGGGTAAGCCTCTCTGCTATGTATGCATAACTTGCCATATTTATGCAGTCAATATGACACAATCGGGAATAGGACACAATCGGAAATAGGACACATCGGGAATAGGACACAATCGGGAATAGGATACAATCAGGAAAAGGACACAATCAGGAATAGGACACAATCGGGAATATGACACAATCGGGAATAGGACACAATCGGGAATAGGACACAATCGGTAAAATTACAAATCTCCTCAAAATTACGACCATTTTGATAAAAATTGTTATATGATATCATATTCTTTATTTTTAATTTTGCATAATTATACTCATAAAACCATTACTTTATAAATTGTTTGTATTTATTTGACAATGTTTGATGTTTTGTTTTATTTTCAGGTGACAATCACATTAGTATTAGTATTATCGACTCAAGCTGTAACTCATTTTAATCAAATGTGGAAAAAAATATTGTAAGTTTTTTTTATATTTTGTATGAAATAAGGTTTTTTGGATGAAAATCAAAAATGATATGCAAGTATTCAATTGTAAAACGCAATTACATTTCTCACTGTTCTGCCAAATGGACAAAGCACATTGAAAAGTGACATATAAAACTGTTTTTGTCTACTAAACTTAACAGGTAAATGAACCAACTGTAAACCAGACAGTGATCTTTATTTTTGCGAGTGGAAAAATGACTAGAGTTTGAAGCGTTGTAAATATGTCAAACATAGAGCTTCCATTAAATGAATAAAGTATAAATTAATACATCATGGAAATTAGAAAATCGCAAAAATTACTAGAAAGAGCTAAAGGCGAAATGACGTATCCGCGATGGTTTACAGTATATAGCGATCGATTTATGGCTGCCTTAGGTCCTACAGCAAATAAAACATACACATCCAGGACGATAACATGTTACTTAGATATACATATATACTGTTTTGCACAAAATTGATGCACTGAGTCTGAATGTTAACGGGCTCTAACACAAAATAACAGCACACAGGTTGGCATGCCCTTTTATTTGGACTCTTTGCTATTATTTCTAAATACCATGGCACTGGCAAATATAATAGATATACTAAATGAACAAGTTGCACAGACGTTGGTTTTATAGGAAAAAAAAAACTCATTAAAGATGCAATGCTCATAAGTTGGTTCGAGGAGGCACTCGAGGGATCGAACCTACAACCGTCGAACTATCAGCGAACACGCTAACAACATAAAAAGTATATTTTCAGCTTTCGTAAGTTTTTTTCAAAGTTATCTTTGAACATAGCGTTACTTTCTACTTGATTAAAGTTGATATGATTTAATATAGAACCAAACGACTACTACAGAACTAGCTGTTGTTGGGATAACGTATAGGTGTAGTAGTACTTGAATATAAGATGTTTAGAAAAAAGTTATCATTTTGTACACTACAAAAGACTCATTAGTGATGTTCGAATAAAAAAGTTAAAGTTAAAGGCTAAACAAAGAACGAAGATAAGAAACATGTAGAATAAAAAATTTCGAAGCGTTTTGCCAAATAGAGCTAATGTAATCTACTCCTTGGGTACAAAATTCTTAGTATTTCAAATGGATATAACAATCTGTGAATCTTTATTAGTTTAAAATCATAAAAGTCTCACGTAGAATATTGATCTAATTTCTCTGTCATAGATCAAATGTGTTAATTGTCGTACATTTAACATTATATCTTGTGTTTGAATTTCCTTGCCGTGAAACTTGTTTTTTTCATATGACTTTAAGTATTGGACGACAGTGATGTAAACATACCTTGACATGCTTTTCTTATTGATTCTACTGGAAGTTTTGCCTTTGAATTTTACTTTCCCATGTATCCCCTGAACTTTGAAATTTTCCATCAATATTTTGTACATAAACTAGGCAACAACGTCAATTAACGCTAATGTTTTTATTAGATCTAAAGTAATAAGACTAGTTGTTTGAACTGCCTTCGATATACAACCTGCATATATCATACATTTTTCGACGTCACAAAGTTACCTACAAAAACACAAATTTGAAACTCATATGCTTGGTTACTGTCAGAAAGCAGTCACATACCCAGATAATTAGTAGGATAAACGAAATAAAATTGTTTATAAGGATCATAAAATTATTTAAAAAACCAATAAAAGAATGTGACGCATTTAGGCAATAATTGCCAGGAGTACTAGCAACAAAAAACAGACTTACACCAAAAGCAAACACTTAAACCTTAATCTTTTCAATCTGAATTGTTCTCATGAGTACTTAACTGAAGACATATCTTCGTTAGATGCGACACCCGTATAATTTGATGAACAAAATTTATCAACTTATCAATGCATGTCTGATTATTGATTGTACTTTTGAAAACTGCACTCTTATAGTACACCAAGAGTTTAATGAAATAACACTTTAAAAGTATGAACTTTCATTTCCTTATTAAGTTAAAATGCGTACAATTTTTTTGATAGATGTACAATTCCCATCCAGAAATTATCAATAAATTCTATTTTCGTGTTTTCCAGCAGAAGAGTTCACAAGGTTTATAGGGCATACTAAAGCTGTGTTATTTCCTTGTTAAGAATGTCAAACAATGTCATAGAGGAATTTTTATAGGAAATTACACATCTACAGAGTACTAAAATTGTATTAGCCTACGATATCATATGGTTGCAATGGCATACATTTTTTTATATTTCAATTAATGTACATAGGAGTGTATATATGGACAAATGTCAATGAGATGACCAAATGGCACATTAGTCAATAATAAAATGCACTATCTGTTACGGTTCATTCGCTAAGCACCTTTAGTTAAACTTAGACAAGTTATAAATGGTTTTAGTATGGAAATATTCCTTATTGCTATTTGGGAATCTGTGACACTTGACAGGAGATTTTGCGACAACTTTTTACGTCGTACAACAATATTTTTTGCACCTTTGCGTCATACACGTTTATTTCTGACGTCAGGTTATTGATGTCATTATTGCGATTTTGTTTGCACTTAAAATAGTACCGTTAATGCTATTATTACTAGATATATCATGTGAATCGTGCAACATGTGATGCATGCATTGCAAGACATGTTTGCCGTACACCTCAGCGAACCTCAATCCGTATATAGTTCATACAATTTCATTTGTTTTCGGCTTTGATTCCGCTGCTGGCGGACTATGCGCGTCCGAGGGTATCATAAGCTTTATAGAAGTTATTAAGAAACTAAGTTTCCAGCTCCCTTTAGCAAAGTGGACCTTATATTATTTCACCCTGGCTTTCAAACTTTTGTGTGTTTTGAGCTGGTGGAGATAAATCCATAATAAGGACGTACCAGAGTTAAATTGTTACTTTTATTCGACATGATCTGACTCAGGGAAGTGATAATCAAACTTGAAAGAGTCTATTAATCAAATTAAATTTCGAAGATCAAAATTTGCCATAATTTGTTGTATCTAAGCCTTCAACATCAAAAGTGTTGATATTACTGCAATTGTTTTAAGATTGTGATTGAAGATTTTGTAGCAGATCTTTAGAAGTTTTATGAATCTGATTGACATCGTTGGTCGAATATACCTAAACTTCATCCTAAACAGTAGAAAGAAAAGTGGTTAGAACTTAAGAAAGATGTTTTGTCGAATATCTGGACCTTAATATATATCTACCTTGAGGTATGCAGTATAAAGACGGGAGATTTTTTATCGCCCTTTTTATGTGAATACTAAATGAGAAAAGGACAAATTGGTGATTTTTCTAAAATATTATTTTCCGTGAAGGATGTAAGGTATATGTTGGATTCGTATTGTTGCTTTGCAATACAAGAACACGAGTATGACATCTTAAATGATAATATTTGCATATAAAAACAATATTATTAGAGGCTTTGTCTTCTGGAACAACAACACATTTGTCATGAAGAGACGATAAAGCATTCACAACCTCGGGTTTTTATGTAAAGGCTAGAAACCACTGAGCTCATTGTAAGTCGTAGATTTGAAAATTCCCCTGAATGCATAAATCAACAGCTTTGAATTATTCAGATAATCGTTCAAGGTTTAACTTTTCTTTTCATAATACGAATTGTTATATAAATATTTTCGAAGATGCATGTTTTCTATATTTGACTAGAATGCTTTAAGCATTTGTTTACTTTTAAAAGTGACAGTTTTATATAAAAAGCTTCAACGATTGCAACGACATGAAAATAAACGAAGTTAAACGTATTTTATGCTAAGAAACTCGACTACAATGAAAATTTGGAGAACTATAATGTTCTATGTTAATATAGAATTAAGGATATGTGGTATGATTGCCAATTAGACAACTATCCACTAAAATTCAAATTAAGTGGATGAAAGCAATTATAGGCAACCATACAGCCTTCAACAACGAGAAAAATTCATACCGTATAGTTGGCTATAAAAGGCCCCAACATGTAAAATATGAAACAATTCAATTGAGAAAACTAACGGCCTAATTTAAAACAAAAGAATTAACGAAAAACAGATCTGAACCCACGACAATCACTGAACTACAGGCTCCTGACTTGGGACAGGCACATGAAAAATGTGACTGGGTTAAACATGTTTATGAGCACTCAACTCTCTCCCTAACCTGGGACAGTCCTGTAAAAGCACAACATAACAACAAACTATAAAAATACATGTTTTGCTCAAATCTATTTATTCCTTATAGCTATATTTTAATGGCATATCATTTATAGATATAAGAAGATGTGGTATGAGTGCCAATGAGACAACTCTCCATCCAAGTCAAAATTTATAAAAGTAAACCATTATAGGTCACAGTACGGTCTTCAACACGGAGCCTTGGCTCACACCGAACAGTAAGCTATAAAGGGCCCCAAAAAATTACTAGTGTAAAACCATTCAAACGGGAAAAACCAACGGTCTAATCTATATAAAAAACGAGAAACATTGAAACAAACCTTAAGCTTATAATTACTTTATTCCTAATTGTTTAGTGAGAAATTTAAAACATCTTTATTTACGAAAAAAAAATGTTGATTTTTTTATCATCCAAGTACAAACCCCAAAAAGATACCTTATCCTAAAAAAACCTCTTATTTCTATGTTTATGATTTCTATTTCAGAACTAGCCGCAAATTTACAACAATAACAAAAGACAATTTACAAAAATATTTTCCTGGATATTTTCGAACACCATCAGAACAATTAGAATATGAAAGACTTATCTTATATGGTTCAAAAAATAAAATACCTGTGTCAACCCAAAGCATGGCACCTTATAATTACCATTGTAATGTAGACTGCCGTCGTAGATACGGACCATTTCATAATATGAGATTTAAACGACAAGCCGGAGGAGGATCAGGAAATAACGATGATTTCATGCACGCATGTTGTGTAACGTAAGTAGTGCCAATCAAGATGGAATGTTAAATTTTATCTGACTAAGTTACCGGTTTATTTATGTTCTTTGCTTAAAATGGTTCTACTATTTGAGTCTTGCAAATCATGTGACGAATGCTATATGTTTACTCTTATTGATGCACATAGTCACATTTCGACTAGTGTTTTGCTTATCTATTCATTTTTACTTCAAACTTTCAAAGATAAGGTTGATGTAGTTTGATTAACAACGGACGGGGATGGACACAACTGTACGACACTAAATGGCCTTGAAAATTAACAAAACCCATACCGTATTGTAAGCGTTGTCTGCTTTAAATTTAGACAAATGAGTATTAAACATCAGTATAATGCCTTTTTATTCTGCGTCTTAAATCCCATAACATAGTTTATAATTTTGTTGAAATTGGCTTTAACCTAATTTGCAGGAACTGCGAGTACTCTTATATTGGGAAACTTGTGTTTTTTGTGCTTCCCGCCAATATGAGGAACTGGTCGTTTCCAACAGATCTTCACGCCATCTGTTTATGTTATATAGTTGCTTTCCTCCCCGTCATTTGGTCTGAAGTAAATAGTTGTTTTATTACCACTCATAACTTGTCTCCATATTTTCTATATTATGTAAATGAACTCATTTGTAAGTACTAAAATTGAGAATGGAAATGGGGAATGTGTCAAAGAGACAACAACCCGACCAAAGAGCAGAAAACAGCCGAGGGCCACAAATGGGTCTTCAACACAGATAGAAAATCCCGCACCCGGAGGCGGGCTTCAGCTGGCCCCTAAATACTAATTTTGTACAAGTTCAGTGAAAATGGACGTCACACTAAACCCCAAGACATAATTATAAATGAACTAAAATTAAAAAAACATACAAGACTAACAAAGACCAGAGGCTCATGACTTGGGATAGGCGCAATAATGCGGCGGGGTTAAACATCTTTTACTACATGAATCCCCTATATTTACAGTACGTTTCCTCATTAGTGGCTGTTTTTCACATCTTTCGGTACACTATACCACTTGCAAAGGAAATCCATTAAACGTTAAAAATGTATAAAGTAGGACAATTAATCCGGGGGTCTTTTGTTGAGTTCGTGTTGGTCAGTCTTTAGTTTTTTATGAAGTGCCTTATGAATTTCGACTTGTGAATTCTGATAGTCTCCTTGGTATCTTTCACCGCTTGTTTTGTTAACTTTATGAAATATCATATCATATCTTAGTAACTTATACAATGAAATGTGGCATTTGATATGTTTATTGATTTACACATTTATATATTGTAATATAAATATTTCAGAAACGTTTTCTTCGAAACACCAGATTTAAAACCCAGTGTGAACGGTGATAATAGAAATTTACTCCATCTCCCAGGAATGAGGCAGGTTTTTAAAGTAGAAAATTGCAGGTAAGAACAACGGGTTAGTTTTTTAAATCTAATACGAGATATTTATTAAAACAACGACAACTGTAGGGAAATAATGTCAAAACTATGGATGAAAGGGAAATAACCTAAGTTTCAAATGTCATATTCGTGTATATAAACGATGACATGAAATAATTGGCAAAACACTTGATCTTAAGACATTGGTATTTCTGTAGTCCTCTCATTGTTGACTAGTACATTCCCTTCTCATTCTTATGAAGTTTGAAAATTGTGCAAATATAGATTTTTTTTTAATAGTTCTTGACTTACAATGTAAAACACAAAATTAAAATGTACATTTGTAACTGTTCAGTAAATTGATTTAGGGAAAAGATTTGAAAGGCAGATACCTTATCTGAAAGTTTAAAAGATAATAAGTGTCACTTTCTATAAAAGTTTTCATAACTTATTTCTTATATAACTAACTTAAAAGAGTAATAATCTGTAACTATTTGTTTAATTGATGAAGTAAAGAAAAATTATAAAATTGAAGAGACTCTTATTTTTTTATCATTATTTTAATCAACTGACCAATGTCCATTGGTGACAGATCCAAATTCTAATTTTTCTCAATTATAATAAAATCAAAAATAATATATGTAATAAAAACAACAATTCTAATGAAAATAATCAGAAATATACTGAGATATCGATCTCTGTAGTAAATGTATTTTTGTTTATATCACGCTTTGCTTGGTTTGGTTTATAGTGCTCAATGTGTTGTATTGTTCTTCACAGTAAGTGTCCACATTTATGTACAGACTGGTGATTGATGATTGCTTTTTTACGTTTTAACGCCACATTTATGTACAGACTGGTGATTGATGATTGCTTTTTTACGTTTTAACGCCACATTTAGCACAATTGGTTATTTCGTGGTGGTCAGTGTTTATTGGTAAGGGAATTCGAGGTTCCCCGAGAGAACCTTTAAACTTTTGGTAGGAAACTGGAAATCATAGTCAATTAAGTCGGATGCACCTCCTACCTGCTCGAACTCACAATCTCAGTGTTAACAGGCTAGTGGTACAGTAGTTGATCAACTTCGGCAACTCGGCCACCCAGGCCTCCAGACTGAAGATATATCCTATCATGAAATTAGTATTAGAATAGTTATATATATTTACAGCAATGTTATATCAGTAATTAAAACCGATCGAGACATAAATAAAAAAAAAGTAAGTTGTCTGAAAAAGACGTTTTTATCCTGCTAATATTTGATTTGAACTCGATACTGTTGTCAGATGATGAACATCATAATCTGTGTGTTATTAACCTTGTTGGAAGAATATGTGATCATCTTAATTTCGCAATAAAAACTAAATAAGCACAAAAGTCAATCAATATTTTAGATATAAAGAAAAAAATAATTTGATACGTTTTAGCTTAAAGTACAATTACTTTTGTAAAACTATGTTTCACTTTTAATTATGATAAAAATATAGAATCAAATGTATAAAATGAAAAAGACTTGTTATCACAGACAAATTCAAATAAAATTGTGAATAGAAATAAAAAGTTTGGAATTCTGGTTTATTGACTAAGTAAATCATAACAATGTGTAAATTTTTGCGAAAATTACAAAAATGAAATAACACGGTTTTTACTATCTTTTTTCAAAATTGCCGTTCCATATTTAAAATATACATTTATTGTTGATCATGTATGTAATGTTACTATATATATATATTTCAGTCAAGCTGTTGGGTGTACCGGTTGCAGATGTATGCATGAACAGGCTTTAGCTTCAGCAGTGGTCATTAAACAGCACATTCCACCTTCTTTAGCAGATCAAATGGACGATTTGGAAATTGATTTATTTTATTTTAATGGTTGCTGCAAATGCGTCAATTACGGTTAAAGACATTTTAATGTGATGTCATTTTCACTCTAATTTTTTTTTCAAAAACACTTATAGTTTTCTCGCAAAAATTAGGGGATACTTTTACATTTTGAAACATTTTATAATCGAACAATGAAGGGAATCGTCCGAAGAAGAAAATTTCTCATCTCTTGACTTGAACAACCAATGAAGTTATATAATTTTTAAATTTTCCAATCAACTTTGCATCGATACCAAATAAATGATTTGATGTCATTCTAGGGGAGATACACAACTGCTTCTTTCTTGATAAATTTTGTTTAGCAAATTAAATTCTAAAAGTTTGTGTGTGCTACTCAAATTTGCAGATTATCTTTTGCACTGAAAATCCTACATGTTAAGAAAATATAACAATGCTTAAAACAATCATTATATGAGGTTACGAGGATTTTTATCCTGCATACCTGAGATTAAAAAATAATCTAGATTCTATGTCCAATATTTTTGGAAATCTCAGTATACAAATAAAACTTAAAGGGATATTTATTCACTTATATATAGCATAGATAGTTTGCACTGCATGTACAATATCAACACATATACCTTTGGTCATAGATCAATCCTTCAGTTGAATATAACTTCAATATTTTGTATGATTCCATGAATAATTATATTGTACATACTTTTCGTTATATTCTTTCTTAAATGCGATATTCATTAAAAATGTCAATCTTTAGATTTAATTTAAAACTTGACATACAACACAATTTAGAATCGTAGCTCCAAAAAGTTATTTCTCAAAACTTTGTATGTTTTTTTACCGCAAATTTGACACCGGAAATCATATTGGAATAGCATATTATACCAATATATAATTTTCACTGAAGTCCTAGCACTTCGAAATGTTTCTTAAAGTTAAGATTTTGTATAACTAAAACCAAGTTTTTACCACATTGTTTTTTGTAGTAAACCTACAACATTTTCTTATGACCAAACGGTGTATTGCTTATATGTACACATACACAATATATAGATATATATATAAATTTATATTTACTCGCATCAACTGGAAACAAAACTACGGCAAATGCATTGTAAACCAATATCGAAACAAATTGTCGAAAAGATAAGTATTGAAAGGATAAAATGTTGACGCATCAAATCCAGCATTTTTGAGGTAAATATTATCTTAAAGTTTCTTGAAATATCATTTTTAAATTAAAAAATGTTAAGAAACTAAAGTTCAACTCCCTGAGCAAAATTGAAATTTGACGGATTTGAATATCATTCTAGTCTCATTTGGTGAGTCTCTTTTGTATAAATTACCTTTAAATTCTTTTAATATAATGTATTTCTGAAATTCACCTAAAATACTGTATTTCCTCCTTGTCAATTATCATTTTGCCAATAACACTGACGAAACGTATTCAGTTGTGTTTATTAATCCCAAAAATTGCCATTGTTATATTTTTGGGACAAATTGTAGTAATATTCATTGGGGGTGCGACTTCATATCGTTGAAACGTAACCTACGTAAATGAATACAAAGTTGGCAATATTATATACATATATACACCAACCATTTGCTGTCTCTTTGCAATCTACATGACTTGCATTGGATATTTTCGAGCTATTTTAGAAGCAATGTTTTACAATTATATTTGCCATTACTACCAATTTTTGGAAAGTTCCGTTTTAAAAAAGTCAAGCTGCCAGCAATAACAATGCAATTTGTCATAATGCGAAACTAATCAAATGAATATCACCTAGAAAAAAGGCAACATGTTTATGTGAAAGTAAACATAAAAACACAGCTGCAAGCAGGTCATATCATTATATATCACTACTGACTTCTGTTCATTATAAAATCAATGTTTTGTCAATATTTGTCAATGTTTGTATAATCTGTTATGTATGTTCGTAAGCTTGTATTTACCATTGACTGTTCCCTTCTTATTATCACATTCTGTAGCAAATATATGTAATTGTTTGTATAAATGAGGTATTCCAATTAAAGTAGCTCATCACTTGATGAACATACAATAATTTCATCTTGCAAATATGAGAATTTTCTCAAGTGTCATCATTACACACCACTACATATTCTTGTCAGAACATTCCTCACTGTAGATTTACCCATATATGAAAATCAGAATTTTACAGTCTGATAAAGAAAATTTATCGCTGTTGCAGATATGGAGTTTCATCGATGAATCCTTATACTTTAAACTACACTTGTTTTAAATGCATATTATCCAGTTGTCTACTTACCAAAGTAGTATTTCATGAGCCTACGATACAAAAAACAATAGGAATCATTTTTCAGAAATGATAGGAGATGCATGGAACAGTTTTTATTCACCAACTTGAACTATTGAATAAACGTCTTCTTAAAAAAACATGTAATCAAAGTTTATATTTCATTCATATTTATTTGTTAAATTTATAACGTTTATGAATATATCTTAACATTTATTTATCAAATTTATAAAGTTAACACTTTTTTGTGCATGCAACTGTACATTTGCACTTTATTGTTTTCTAGTTTGTCAAAAGTCAAGTTAGAGTGAACAATCTCGATAAGAAATTTGTGAAAAATAAATGCATTTAAAGTGAATATATTTATTGTTAAAATACATTGAAAGGTGTTTGTTTACCCTGTTTCATATTTTTATCATGATGACACTTTCTCTAATCATTGTTGTTTTATTGTTGGGAAGTAATGTTTTAAAGATAGACAAAAACGGTTATAGACTATGGTTGCGATCAACCACTGTTTGCTTGGTCCATACATTAGCGAAAATCTTAGGCACCAACTCAAGCTCTTTACCTTAGGTAGTGGATGTTAAGGAATAGGGTAAGCGCCCATTTAATCAAAATGTCACACACACAAAATGGGACACAACTCGACTAATCTGATATCTAAAGATTTAAGACCGTGAAATTATTTAGTTAGTGAGATGAAACAGACTCATCGTATCGGTCAACCAATTTGTGTTGGTGACCATAAACTATTGAAGTATGAGTTTCAGCCTTTCTCCTCATAATTGTATTGGAGCAGTTTTGTGTTAGGCGCACACCCCTGTTAATGAAGGCCGAAAAGTGTGAACATGCACGAGTGTAGCATTATAATTGAGATAATTTTTATGTAAACGCCAAAAGGTAGGACAGAGGGTATATTATTGCTGAGAAATGAGAAGTTGACAATTGTACAGATTTAATCTTGACGTTTGTCATAGATTCTACATGTAGATGTAGTTCGAATATTTTAAATACAATTATCAAATGATATATTTATCACTCTTATTAACCTTCTGTTCTAATCCGAAAGAATGCGCATGTTGTACTTCCTGAGTTAATATAAACGCTTACGCTAAGAAAAAAAAGTTAATAAGATTTATATGGAAGTTATTTTGCGCTGGAACCATTTTGAAGTGTTCCTTCTTGCAATTACTGTATAACGGCTTTATGGGCAAATGATGGTGTACTTAAAGTAGGTAACAACTAACTTTTACATGCTTAAATATTGTTCATACTCGCAATTTTAAAAGGTTATGCCAGTGCTGGTGAGGGTTTCCCCTGTGGATATCAACAGCCAAGTAGTCTTTCTTTCTGTATTGACAAGCATTATCATTGATTTGGTAATTTTTATAGATTAACTGTTAACAAATATTTGAACTGTTCGAAATACTTAGGACTTTCCACCTTATGAATAGAAAAACGTAGGTGTAGTTGGCAAAACTGCAATGTCTTCAATGCTCTCTACTGAATTATGTTTTATTCGAGGGTCACTGATGGGTCTTTTGTGGACAACACGCGCGTATGTCGTACAAAATTATAAGCCTGGTATCTTTGTTGAGTTTGCAGAAAAAGCTTTTGTTAAAGAGACTATGTAGTCGGATATTTCAATTGAGCATGAGGAACAATAGAAAATTTTAGTTTTCAGTGCTAAAATAAATATTCTGATTGAAGATTTAAGAGTAGATCTTTCGAATATTTAGGAATCAACATCGAAATACACATCTAAAACATAATCAACATCAACACCTCAAACGGTTTTTCCTGTCATGAGCAACAAGGTGTATGCTATCATGATTTCTCTGATTGAAGGATGCTGCTTTCATTGAAGCGAATGAAGCAAGAGTTCCAAGTGGTGAGGTTAAAATCATTCATTCGATATTTTTACGGACGAGTTGGTTGAACTTTGTTTAATATATGTTTCATAGATGACGACGGATAAGTTTCAATTATCGTAACCAAAGTTTCGTCCTCTTTTCTTCGAATGTAACCTAACGAATTTGACGTTCAAATGGATCTATTCTTATAAGAGCAACACGACGGGTGTCACTTGTGGGGCAGGATCTGCTTACCTTTCTGGAGCATTTGAGTTTTTGGTGAGGTTCGAGTTGCTAAGTTTTAAGTTTCTGTATTGTTTTGTGTGTTTTGTTGTTTGTCGTTTCGTCGACTTCGTTTTTTTGCCATGGCATTGTCAGTTTGTTTTCGATTTATGAGTTGAAAATCCCTTTGATATCTATCGCTTCTCCTTTAAAAACCTTAAAATGATATGCTCATGCAACATTTTTTTTCTTATTGATATGACTTAATAATCATTTTCATTAAAGGTTTATGAACATCAGTTACTAAACGTCCATAATCAAGTTCTTTTTGAACGCCAAGGATTTACTAAGTATGATAACTCAATATGTTGATTACTAAGGATGTATTAATGGCACAGATGTGTTTATAGTCAAGGAAGTGTTCACAAGGATCTAGATGTCAAAACAATTTGATAATTGTGTTGAAAATGACCTCACAAGTTTGTCACCACAATTCCGTCCTCTTTTCACCAAAGGTGTACTATCATAAGCGACATGACGGGTGCCGCATGTGGCGAGGATCGGTTTATCCTTCTGGAGCACATGCAACCACCCCCGTTTGTATTTTGGTCGTTTTTAGTTATGTTTTTCAGTCTGTGTTCAACTTGTTGAATATTCCATAGTATCTTCCGCCTCTCTTACACGGGCGAATGTACCGTTTTCATAGAAGCATATAGAATCATTCAATAATTCCGTATTGTAGATTGTATAACCATTAAGTAATATATATGTTTAACCGATTAATTTTTCTGCAATTGATTTGGTTAGTCAAAAGACTGATGGTGAACACTTGGTTTAACATGCAGATTTTCTACTTTGATATCCTAAACTTTGTCAATTTAATTAGCTTAGTAATAAAACTATGCTGTGAAATAATTGGCATTCTGTATGAAGGCCAGTGGTTTATCAAAAGGGACAGGGCTTGATAATGGTCTACATGGACTTATTTGGACTGACATTTCATCTTTTCTTCAATGTTTACAATCAGGTATTTAAAAAAAAAAACTGATAGTTTTGTAATCCATTAGATCACAGCAAACACTAAAAGAACGTCCCTTTACGCCCTTTTGAAGGGAAAAAATACATGGGAGGTATAAACTAAATCATTTACAACGATGTTTATCACAACATATTTCATAATTATCTATTTGGTGCAACATACCCGCAAGAAGTTCTATGCATTTCTGAAATCTCTGCAATTGTTCTCATTTGTTCAAAAAATAAAGAATTTAATCTACGAATATATCTACCGTTAAATCTCATATGTTTATAGTATTTGACAGACCAACACTTTAAATATACGTGAATGCATACATAATCATTAAGCAATCACATATTTGTGTATATATCAACGTCCTTAGAAAACCTACTCTCCCTCCTTTAAATCTAAAAGATCAACAAATGCCAACATCGAACAAACTCTACAGGCAAACATAAATTATTCATGTTTCTTTCGAAAATATACGAAAATATGATTCATACTGCCAAAAAAAGTCTTTCTGAACTGAACACAAGTCTATTTTAACGTCATTTCCTTTCTATCAGGTATGAGCTGACTACTTATTCATGGAATCTACCAAAGACCTAAATCAGCTTGTCCCATTTAGTGTGTCACTTTCCTTCTTTTGTCATTTCAGCCAAACTGTAGGTTGTAGCGGATGTCGATGTATGCAAGAGCAAGCACTTAACTCCGCTGTTGTTATCAAAAAGCCAATTCCACCATCTTTAGCGGACGAAATTGATGACCTGGAAATTGAACTTTTCTATTTCAATGGTTGTTGTAAATGCGTAAATAGAGGATGATCAAATATAGTGTTTTACATTCAGAAGCAATATATCCATAAAGGAAAAATGTGATAAAATTGAATTTACAAGCACAATTTTTTTTTCAAAAGAAAGCCTAGCCCGTAAATGATGGTTTGTTTCTTTAAACTCATTTGAACACGTTATCAGAGAATATTAAAAAAGTATAGTTGATGCTATTTGTTATAAGCTTGTCCTGACTTGTTTTTTCATCAGACTATCTCTAATGATGATACAACATCATCATAGTTCATTTCAGGCTCAGTAGCAATTGCAGTACAAAATAATGACTCCAGTTCATTTGATTTGATTAACTACAATCGTAGCTACAATCCCGTCCCCTTTTCACCGAATGTGACCTACCGAATTAGACTTACACCAGGTTTATACTAACATGAGCAACACAACAGATGCCACATGTGGAACAGGATCTACTTACCCTTCCGGAGCACCTGCGATCCCCCCCCCCCCCCGTTTTTGGTTGGGTTTGTGTTGCTTAGTCTTTAGTTTTCAATGTTGTGTTGTATGTACTTTTGTTTCTCTGTTGGTCTTTTCTTTTCTTTTCTTGTCATGGCGTTGTCAGTTTATTTTCGACTTATGAGTTTGAATGTCCCCTTTGTATCTTTCGCCTCTCTTCTTATTTAAGCTTTACTTTTCGATATTTTCGTACACACGATTTAAGTATGCCTACTGCCTGTCTGTGTTTATCTTCTATTTAACTCTCGAACAAATAGATAAGTGTGTTTTCTAAGGTTTTATTCATCTATTCTAGAATTATACGTAGTAATTAGCAATGAAAATCAAATACTACCACTTCAGTCCACACTAGTAGCGTGTATATTTTAGTATACGGTATGAGCCTTTTAT